GCCCCCTATAAGTTTCCTTGTCGGACTTATCTCCAAAGAAGTACATCTGGGAGCACTCACATCTAATTTTCACTATATTTTTCTAACTAAACGGTATAATTCGAGGAGAGAATGGAAAAAGAAAAGTTGGAATATATATATCAAGATCAATAGGATTGTGTAACAAACCTTGATCAAACAAAATCAAGGTCTCGTGACTAAGTTCTTGCAACAAGGTATCGAGGTAAGGATTCCCATTGCAGGCTTCGGTGGCAAGGTCCCGTTGTAGGGTGTGTTTCTGTACCTAATTAATACTTGAGATACTTGTCACCAGTTTATTAGTTTGCACCGCATGTGCCTAGGCCACACGCGTGTGAATACCTTTATATTCTCACAAGAACAATTTTGGGGGATGGATGTAAATCCTTAAGCTCTAAGTCTTGAGGATACAACCTCTCTCTCTTCTCCTCCATCCTTCACACCCCCCCCCCCTCTTGGGTCCCTCCGGTTGTGATGAGTATGAACTCATTTAACCTCTCTCTCTCTCTCTCCCCGTTTTCCTCCATCCTTCACACCCCCCTCTTAGGTCCCTCCGGTTTTGACGAGTAAGAACTCACTCTTGGGTCCCTCCGGTTGTGACGAGTATGAACTCATTTAACTCGCCATCTACATTAGCCAATGAACTTTTCCTTGTGTTGACAAATAGTAATAATTTAAAATCAAATAAGTGAAGTAGTCACCGATCACAATCATACACACTATCTAAAATTAAACTTTTGTACTAGGGTCCACTAGCCTGGTTTTCAATGGATTGGAAGCCATGCTTCTTTATATTTTTCAACTTTTATACCAAATGATCTCGGATCTAGGTATGAGAGACTATAAGGATAATAATTCACTTCTTATTCCAACCGTGGAATAAAATAAAGAGTAATGTTAATTCGAGTTAATTTATTGCTCTAATTTATTGACCTCATCAATCTCTATCATTTGATTAATTGGATTTCAATATTGATTGTGCTCGTTACTTGTAGATAGTGATGAACGAAGATAATAAATTAGATCAACAGATTAAATCTAAATAATATTAATATAAAATAAAAAAATTAGCCAATTATTCAAGCATGTACCATATTGTATTCCAAACAAGGGAAACTCTATGGTATTGGAAAAAAATTTCTACATCGATATCGCCGATTACTATTTTGTATGGTAAAGTTACAATTTTGAAATGAGAAATTACAATTGTTCAAAAGAGGTCATGATCAATTACAAACACTCATAATCGATCATGAATAATGTGATATCGATATCAATATTCCATGATCGATTATACCTTTTAAAATTATAACTTATATATCAAAAAAATTATACCTTTACTTTACAAAATTGTAATTTTTTGTACCAGTACCGCAATTCCCCCAACCAAACACCCCTAAAAAATCTTGGCTCCGGTGTATTGTGATTCTCGGACAAACTACCAGAAATAATCACAAGGCCTTACAAAAACAGACTGCTATGAAGTCATGTAAACACTATATCCAGATAATTTTTTTTTTTTTTTGGGATTTAAGTTTGTGCTGACTATTATCTCGAGCTCGGATACTGACTATTCTAGCTCAAACAAATTTTAAACATGTCACATGAGAAATAAGAATTATTAGCTCTAGGAATATGAAAAGTATTGTACTTGAAATATTTAGGTTATCAGAAACTAAGTTCAGTCACCGAACTACTCCTATAGGTTCAGATAAATTTTCCATTTGATCAAAGGTCATTATTGCTAAGATTTAGGAAAGAACTCCCAATCTAATTTGGAAAGGTTGGCTTCAATGCACATTCAAGCTCGGCAAGAAAGACTTAAATATCTTCTCCAACTCTTACTCAGTTAGGGGTCATAGTTTTTGACACAACACAATAATACGATTCAAAATTGATACAAACATAGTAGGTTAAGATTAATCATTTCTCAACATAAATTCGCTTATGACACGACTTGTTAACACGAATAATAAATGAGTTGGGCTAGTATCAAACATGAATAATAAAAAATTGACACGATTAATAAATTTAAGTAGTATTATAAAAATAAAATAGTAATTTTTTATTATATTTTGCCAAATAGTGAATTAATTCTTGAAAAAAATATTTTACTCATTTATTATTATTATATTTATTAAATTAATTTTTAGTTTATAAAAAAAATATGAGCATAAGTTCGATTAAGTAATAATGAAATTTTAGACATAAAATTGAGTATTAATTTTTTATTTACGAGTTATATTGATCGATACGAATACGACACGAAAATAAATTGGTTGACATGACGTGACACTATTATTCAATCGAGTTGAAATATAATTGACTAAGATTTGACCCGAACTATAAATAATCCGACCCGATTGTCGCCTCTAAACTAAGTCCAACGCTGGTTTTTGGAGAAAACGCCACCAATTCTAATTAGGAAAGGTTTGATTTCCAAGCAACTATAACCCACAAATACTATCCCGCGTATAAACAATTACAAAAAATCTTATTAGGAAAGGTTTGGAAAGTAAAGGATTAGTACTAGTATGATCAAGTTAGAACTCCCATTCCTCCTAAAAATCAAAAACCAGTTAGGTTCTCTGCTATATATGCATATGGGTTCTTCTTCTCTTTTACTTTTCAACAATTCCCCCATAACAAACAACAAATTTCTTGCTCCGCAATTGACAGCTGATATGACGAAGGGTATTGAGCCAGATCCTTCGCTTGATAAATTCGAATGGCTAGTAATGGCTGCGATGATCAAATACGATGAAGAAAAGTTGCAAGAAAGTAGGGTGGAGAATCAGCAGCAACCGCCTGTTACCGGCCAACCCGCCACGTCCGGTGACGACGAGTCCTCTGAGAAGCCTTCTGTGTCAGATTCAGTTCTTCAATGTTCCAACAAGATAAAGAAGCCGATGGTATTAGACGATACAGACTTGTATTACAATCAAGATGCACCTGATGAGTACTTCAATCAGATGTTATCTCAGGTGCTTGAGCTTGAGCTTGAACCATCGATGGTTGAAAGGGCGATGAAAGAGAAGGCATGGGTGAGACCTATTATGATGACAAACCCAATCCTCAAGGGTAAGTCCGAGGCAGAGAAAGAGAACTCATCGACAAGGCCTGGAATGGCATACCCAGAGGGTGTGTGCAGAGAAGAGAATGTGAACAGGGAAAGATTGCTAAAGAAAACTCAGGCGAACGAGTTCTTCGGTAGGCCTTTCTCTGGTGTGCTTGATATATCGAAGGGTGAAAGGTTGACGAAAGAGAAGTCTTCGAAGAGGGCTGTTATGGCATACCCAGATGGTATTTCCAGGGAAGAGGTCCTAAGGAGAGAGAGATTGCTCAAGAAACCAGTTGTAGAGATCCCACGAAAGATGTCTCCAAAGGATTTGAAACGACACAAATTTGAATTTGATGACAGTGATGAAGATTATAAGGTCAAGAAGAAGAATAAGATCAGCAAGAGTGTGACGAAAAAAGTTACTGATCAGGGTCCAAATCCACCACCCCCATTGCCTATTGAATTCAGAGAACGTATTTGCGAGATGGGTGGTTCGGAGAAGGACGCTGTGTTGGTGATACAGAAGCCATTGTTTTCGACAGACACAAGTTCTGGTCATAACCGCTTTTCGATTCCGTTGAGACAAGTAAGGTCTGAGTTTCTCGACGACTCTGAGAAAAACTACCTTAAAAATCATAACGGGAAGGCTGTGGCTGCCATGGAAGTGACCTTGATTAGCCCCACGCTTGAAAAGTGGAAAGTAGGGTTCAGGAGGTGGGAGATGAAGAAGGAAACAGGCAAAACTAGCTCATGTTATGTGATAAACTCTACGTGGAGAATGATTCAGAAAAAGAATGGTCTTAAACCAGGAATGGTTATGCAACTATGGGCGTTTAGGTTTAATGGCGAACTGTGTTTTGCTCTCGTCAAGCTTCCAAGAGGAGGAGGGGGAGGAGGTGGTGTTGGTAGCAATGGCGATGGAAGTGGTCCAAGTACTGATAATGGTAAAGACAAGACATCACCACCTTCTTCATCCGAACCAGGGCACTATTAGGGTTGATTTACTTTTGAACCTATTTGTTTATCTAGCAATTAGAAGTATATATATGAGGCTTTTTATTTGCGGAACTTCTAGTTTTTAGGTTTCTTCTGAAAAACATGATTTTAATTTCTGCGTAGAACGAACTATGAATGTTTATATTTTCGGTTAATCCATGTATAAATCTTTTAAAATCATAAATCCATTTTGAGTCTTTCATCCGATCTAAATAGTTAAATTAGCTTCGAATGTTAACATTTTACTTCTGTTTTCAATTAATTTTTTTTTACTTTTAACTGAATTTCATCAAATATTTATGTGCAATCACATACAATTCAAATCAGAGCAGATATTGGTAACTCTAAAACTCGAATCCTGAAAATTCAGATTGGAGCAGATTTGTTCATCTGATCAGCCATTGTCTTTAAATTAATGGCGGACCCTAATATGATCATGACAAAGTACCAATTTTAGGATAATAGTACATAGCATTATATCCGTAACATTTTTCCAGCAGTCATCAGCTACCCGAAAGTGAACAGTAACAACATGAGGAGCAGAACAGTAACACCATTGATCGTACGTAGGATACTAATTATGTTGATCTGAATAGCACATTAATCTTTGGAACAGTGTAGTAAATCTTAAGGAGCAGAAGATATGGAAAGGGAAATAAAACAATTAAAAACGTCGCACCTCCGTGGCTCCAATGAAACTATATATGCAAAAACAATGAAATTACTGCAGGTCAAAGATGTTATTGCAAGTTGGTATGGAGGTCAGCATTAGCAGATGTAGTAATTGTAAGAGGGAAGTTAAAAGTAGTGTGCCATTGAATTGATATTCATCGTGTTCAATTGCAGCTTATGGAATGGAAGAATCTCTGATTCCGACTACATTGCATGAAAAATATGTAAAATTGAAGCTAATTGCCCAATTGATCTAAATCATTGGTTTGGCAGGTACATATTCGAGAATTGGATGAACCTGAAATCGACACACAGCAAGTAGTAGTGGTCACCTTGCGTCTTATATGATTAATCTACTATCAATGCTTTCTTCACCACTTCATATTTCTCTAAGAAAGTAAGAACAAGCAAGAACACATAGTTTGAAACAAGAAACGATGCAATTCTCTGTTGCAGGGTATAAATAGGAGTGGAACAAATTTGCTCTGTGATTATAGTTTGAGAAGACTGACGCAGGGTAGATACTGAGAAGTTTCAAAAGGCTTCTAAAAATGAATAGTGTGTTTCTTTGTTGTATTTAAGAGGTATGAATATGCGAATGTGGCATGTATTGCTGCCCCAATTGGAAGCACATCCTCATCAATGGTGAAGTAAGGACTATGTGGAGGGTGCATAGATCCAGTCCTTTCATTTCTTATACCCAAAAAAAGGAAGGATCCAGGTACCTTTTCTAAGTAAAAGGCGAAATCTTCACTCCCCATGAAGGTAGGAGTTAATTTTGTGTTTTCTCTGCCGACAATCATACTCGAGACCTGTTGTACCTGTTCAAATATTCTGTCATCATTTATGGTTGGGGGAATTGTGGGGTGTTCCTTTCCAAAGAAGTCAATTTCAGCTGAGCACCGATGAACAGCAGCTTGCCCTCTTATAACCTGATGTGCATAAATCATTATGTATTATTATGCATACAGAAAACAACATGAACATAATTGTGTATCACAAAGCTTGTTTATCAGTTACCTCTTCTATTCTTTTTCTTAGCGCATAGAAGCTCTTCTTGCTGAATGCTCTATATGTACCAGCCATTGTAGATGAGTCAGGAATAACATTATATCCAGTTCCTCCTCGAATCATTGTTACAGAAACCACTGCAAGATCCAATTCCACAATGTGTGAAAACACAGTTTGATTGAGTTCAATCAAATGAACGACATAATCTGATTAAGACATCATGGAAATGGTCAAAGAGAAATCATACTTGAGGATCTAAAGGGTCTGTCTCTCGGAAACAATATTC